TAGAACCAAACCCACTTTCATTATATATTTGCTGTATCGGCGTGGTCAAATTACTCAGCCACTGGTGAACGCCTAGGAAACTGTAGCGGCAAATCAGAGGTTCTGTGAGTAATATGTGACCTATGGCAAGTAGATTTAACTAGATATTTAAAATGAATGTTTCGCACAGTATAAGAGGATTCCATCTCGTAGGGGGCTTAAAAATGAACTCAAAAGCCATTCGAAATATTAGGTCAAAAACAGAGTTAATGAAAAAATTTAGAATCACTATATAATAGGAATACAGATAATGAGTTGTAAAAATACACTGCTGCAAATTAATAATATAATCCACAGATCTGTTTCACTGCTGAGTTAGTGTACACTGGTTTTCTACCGGTTGTCGAATGGTCTTTGGGTGAGGACGAGGTGTTCCTGCGAGTTCCGACAAATACGACACGGGTATTAGTGGAGGAAGAGGATAGTAGGAACCAGTGAGAAGAGGAAGTGACCCACAGCACGCTATATTTCCATTCGTACGCCAAAGATATATGCATACTTTACAACGAGGTTGTTTTAGGAAAAAGTTATGTACAGGATGCACAGTTGTAACACCTGACAAAAAACGTACAGCCTTAGTGTCCAGGACTCCACATTCCTCTAAGTTACCTTGAAATAAGTCATGAGCAATTATTTACTATCCTCCAAAATCCTATCTAAAATACTAAGTTGTAGAAATTGAAATGGTTCAGAGAAGCTGAAATATTTAAAGCTATAACGGAAACAGTATTTTGTTAGAGATTTCTACATTGCTCTTGAATGTAAGTGGTCTTCTGTTATACTTGTTAACTGACCAATCACGAGTAAGATTCAGATTTATTGGTTGAGGATAGAAAGCTTGGAGCCGATGTTATTCCTTTTCTAGTAAATTTCTGTGTTTGTCCAAAACCTTCTTGAACGAATCAGTTGAGGTTGCAGACACTTCTTGTGGCAGTTGGTTCCGAGAGTTTGTGACTTGGTGTGAGAGCCAGTGCCCAAAAGCAATATGATTTCTTCTTGGATTTTGAACTCACTACTGTGTCCTCTAAGGTGTTCCGACCTGGTGGGAAGGAAAAGAGACAATAAGTCAGGTCCGTGGTCATTATTTTTGAAATTTCAAACATTGTGATTAAATCTCCTCTCTGCCTACGGTATGACGGTGAGAAGAGATTTAAACTGTCTGGTCATTCCCCGTATGATAAGTTAGTCGTGCCGAGAATCATACGCGTTGCCTTCCTTTGAACCCTTTCTAGAAAATGTGAGTCCCCTTTAAGACAAGGACTGGCGGCTTGGGTGCAGTTTTCCAGTCTTGACCTCACCAGAGATGTAAATAAGGAGGTGAACATATCTCTGGTGATTCTAGTGAAGGCTCTGCGAATTGCCCGTAATGACCTGAAACTACATGCAGCCACCGCGCGACAGTGTGCTGTAGTTTTTAAGTGGTGGCTAACTATGACACCTAAGTCCAAGTGAGTCTGAACTGATGGAAGTGTTATTGCCTCTAGTTCGTAGGAGCTGGTGCTTGCTTGTCCGATGCGCATGGTTGCACATTTTCCCACACTCATCGGGAGCATCCATCATGTGGACCACTCTGACAATTTGTTGAGGTCCTCTTGCAACGTGAGCGTATCACTGTTGCCCTTCAGCTCTCTCCAAATTTTTAAGTCATCTGCGTATAGGACCATAGGGGAATCGGTGAGCAGAGATAACTCATTGATATACAAAATAAATAGGAGAGGTCCGAGTACCGTGCCTTGTGGCTATCCGCTGCGTGCTGCTGTCCAAGAGGAGAGTTTCGAGTTGATCTTAACTCTCTGACTCCTATCTATGAGGAATTCCCTGAGCCAGTTCAGTAAGCTGCCTTTGATACCAAGACTTTCCAACTTCATGAGTAGTCTTTTGTGAGGTATTTATCAAAGGCTTTGCTGAAGTCTATGAAGACGACGTCAACGGGTCTTCTGTTGTCCCTGTATTTGACCCAGCTTTCTCTTGCAGTGAGAAGATTTGACAGGCATGAGAGGTTCCTTTGGAAGCCATGCTGTGCTCTTGATAATAAGCTGCTATTTTCCAGATATGCCATGATGCTTTTCTTGATGATTCTTTCCAGTGTCTTGATGAAAGTACTGGTGAGACTGATAGGCCTGTAATTTGAAGGGCTTTGTCTTGATCCTCCTTTGTGGACGGGGGTTACTATAGCGTCTTTCCAGTCACGCGGTAACAATTCATTTAGGAGAGATAGCGTGAAGATCATAGTCAAAGAGCCGGCTATGTGAGCTGATAAACCGTTGAGAAGCCTTGGGTGGAGACTATCAGGACCCATTGATTTCCCTGCATCTAGTTTCCTTAGGCAGTTGAGCACGATGACTTGGTCGATGTCAACGGAATCTTCCCCATGTTCTTCTGATGCAGCCAGAGCTGATCCTATAGACAGTTATGACTCCTGAATGAAGACTTGGGAGAAGTAGTTTGTCATTGCTTCTGCTTTTTCTTGATCTTCTTCGATTGTATCATTGTCAATAGTCAGGTTTGGGACACCATTGGATGTTTTACTCCCGAAGTTCATGTACGAGAAAATTCTCTTAGATTGTACCTTTGCATTTTGAGCCAGGTGTGCTTCGAATTTCATCCTTGACTGGCGGATTTCTGCAATAGCTTCATTTCTAGCAGTGTTATATAATTTCTTGGTCTCAGAAGTCTCAAGTGTGGCAAACAAGTTCCAACATTTGTGCTTACGTCTGAGTAACTTACGAATCTCTCGGTTTATCCAAGGGCGGCAATGTTTCCGACACTTTGTGACAGACCAAGGGATGAAAGGTTCAGTTACTTGGGCGTAAAGTTGTTTGAATTGGTTCTTTGCGGCTTCTAATTGGGACTCTGGGTTGATGCGCCAGTTTACTGAGTTGGCTGCTGAGACGATTGTACTTATATCAGCTTTCCAAACGTTTGGTCGAGATGGAGTTTTGGCCCTTGCTGCCGTTGGTGTGAACTTGAAAGTGAGCACAGCATGGTCACTTCTTCCTAAAGAAGGAAGATGTTGTATGAGATCCACATCCTTACCGTGGGAGAACACTAGGTCGAGAGTTGAGGGGGAGTGCTGTGAGTCATAGCGCATGCGCTTAATGATATGTTTAACTAGGGCTAACGACATACTAGATTCCAGCAGTTTATAATCAAAGAAGTTGACTGAAGATGGAGTTGTAAGGCTCGCCCAGTCAACTGTTGGGGCGTTGAAGTTGCCGACTGCGAGACTTCTACATTTCGAGTTCCAGGAGCCTAGCTTCTCTATTAGGGAGTCATCTGCACTGCAGTCAGGACTGCGGTACATAGCAATGAAGTCAATGTCTTGGTCTATGCATTTAAGTCTGCAGCGTAGAAGTTCGCACGACTCACTTTCGTGGGTGAGTGCTCCGATACTACGCACGGTTAAGCATTTCTTGAGGTAGATGAGGTTTAGTCGGTCCACCCTATGCGGGTGTGAGCCATGTCTCTGTGATAACCACATCCGGGTTTCCGGAGTCTATCATGTTAACCAGCCCAATCCGTTTGTTCAACAGGCTGCGGGCGTTTGTGTAGCGAACTGTCAATTCAGTTTGGCGCTTCCCCAAACTACCTACAGAGGTTTCGGGATCATTAAACTGCGAACTCGGACAACCCGAAAACCCTTAATCCTAAGATTCTTTTCGCTGTTTCGACGTCGTTCGCTTAATTCTAGGACCGCAGACTGTCTTTTGACATGGTCTGCTAGGCTTAAGTCGGCACGGACATATATGCCTGATCCTTTAAGAATTTGACAGTTGCTTAGAATGGCGTTCCTCTCTTCTTGGGAGTTTAGTACGACTTTGAGGAAACATAAAGGTGGGTTAACTATAGGGTCAGGCTTTTGGCCGATTATATATAAGTTGTGTATTGTTATGCCTGGCAGTGGTTTTGGCAGTAGCTTATCTTAAAGGGGCTTGACCAAGCTAAGGTCATGCTGCCGTCTGGCCTTGGGATCGGAGGCCAGTGACTCTTCCACTTTGTGGAGAATGAGCGACCTGTCAGAGAGATCAGGTTTGCTTGCCGTGGCTTTCTTGCTCTGCGGCGTAAATGTCTTTCTGTCCTTCGTGGGTGATGTAGCCAATGTGTTATCCTTATCTCGCTTTTTGTGAAAGACTACACTACGTCACACATTGGCGTCCCCCTCGCTAATCGTAGTAGGTTTTATCTGCCTACTGCTCACCGATGCGGATGAGGCTTGATCCACCAGTCCCTGGGCGACTTGACCCTCGGTACGCCTCTTCTTTGTGGCAGTCTTTTCATTACTGTCCATGGAGGGCTTATCCAGTATCGTGGGGGCAGCCTGGGTGTCTGGAATATGGTGGGTGATCTTTTGTGCTGAAGGGCACTCACTCACATCGGGAAAATGTGGTGTTTTGTCGATAGCGCTAGTCACGTCATCGTTATCTGAGCAATAGTCTGTGTTCTCTTGTGGTGGAGGACGCTTGCAATCCATGAGCTTTAAAGCCCCACTGAGAGTGGCAATGGCTTCTGTAATACGGAATTTAGTAGTACTACAGCAGTTATTGCTAGAGGTTTGCAGCAGCGTTTGTATGCTGCAGGAGTTAGGTTTGTGCACATGCTGTGGAACCATCTCTTGCAGTTATCACACTGCATTCCCTCATCCACTGGAAATTGGCACATAACCCTTCCACAGCAGTTCCTTTTGATCGGTATGCTTTTTAGAGCGAACTGGGGGAGAAACAATTTAAATATGAGCTTTATAAATCAATGATAAAGAGACAGTGAGTACACGAAAATTGTTATATATATATAACTATTATAAGAACATAACTTCCTATAATTTAATAGACTCAAAACTAAAATGCAAACTAACTTCGATCAGAAAAAACTGATTTAAAGTTAATCTGTAGACTTTTGGAGCGTGTAGCACAACAAAAGCCAAAAGTAAACAAGAGAGAGTAAAATTCACTCCCTTTTCAAAGTTCGCGCGGAGTAAATCTGAGATTACCCAGTCACCCCGGCGGAAACTCAAAATTGGGTGAGTTGACGGAAAGACGCTATAGTCAGTTTCAAGGTCATGATGGGTTCCTGCGTCTACTGGTTATATGTTTTCGTGAATTCGTTTTCCATTGAATTTTAAAGGTTTTTTTGAACGTTTTGCTTGTTTTGGAGTATGTAGGTCAGTTTTCTGTCACTGGATGCTACTAGTAAGGTTGTTTTTAGGCAGAAGTTCCCACTTATTATGTTGGTAGTTAAGGATTATGGTAAACCTGCAATCATTGAGCTAATTCACGTACACTATGATAGTATAGTAACACTATTTAATAAATGAACTCCCTAACTGGTTTTCCATTGTTTGATAATGTGATTGAACCAGAACTGTGGGATTGTTTTATCCGCATGACCGGCTGTAATTCATCACCTTGTTCTTCTTAATAAGCATTATCGAAGAATAGGTTAGAATAAGTTTAGAATTGTTGTAAGCCTGGGGTGATTACGGTATAGGCAATAAATCGTATTAGTCGCCGTTACTCGCGATATGCTATGAACTAGAAATCTTCGGCTGATAAAACGCATTACATAAGGCACAGATCGGTGTAATTTGTAACTGACTTGCCAAGCGCTCTCATCAGGAAACAATCAACCAAAGTATGCTTTAAACTGTCGCTCTCAGGCATTTGAAGGGAAAGGAAGTGTAACACAGTTTAGACATAGATGTTTATATTGTGAATACAAATGGAAACAATAAGGTAATGCAAATATTTTCACAAAAATGATCGATTAACAGGGGCACGTCGTAATCTCAAAGTTGTTTGCGGTTCATTTGCTAGCAAAGTGTCCAACCTTCTTGTGAACTCTGCTACTTCCCGCAGTGCAGCATCCGGATTTCTTTGGTTCAGAATGTTGAGACGACGTATTCCATAGGACCGGATGGATCCTTTTTACTGGAATCAACCCGATACCATGTGTTGGATTCCTTTCAAAGAAATAATGAACAACTTAGTTAGTACCTTCATAAATGCATCTAAAGCTTCCTTAAATTGCATCCATGTATAAAATACACAGCAAAGCATTATCCTTTGGAATGTAGCTGTTACATCACACAATATAGATGACACATTCCGTGAAGTAGACGCAGTAGGAGTACTTTGCAACATCATTTAATGGTTCTAACAATTCCTAACGTGCACAACACAATGATTTCAAGTAAATGAACAGTTGTATGCATTTCATTGCTTATATACCACTTTTGTGACATAGGAAATTTACTTTATTTATGTTGACCTAGTATGTGCAATTCCCACAGGTCACTAAACTGAAAACTTAAAAAAGTAGATCACTTAATACATACATATATCTACATGTCCAAAATTAGACACATTATACGTTTAGCAATTTTTATTGAATTCTATTCCCATAGTAACAAAAAATGCATACATCCTATTTTGGACTTAAAATAAATGCATCAAAATTATTGTTAACTTATATTCACTTACTAGACATTCCCATATATCTCAATGTACTTTAAATACTACAAATGCATCCAAATAGCGTGTGACTATCACACTACACTCACACCAAAAAAATTAACACGCCGTTATATTATGGTAAGTTAAGACTGACTTTAAACTGACTGTAACTTTCCGTGTCAAAATAAAGAGACTGCCATTTTTACTTATATTTTAGACCAATAAGAAGCCAGCTAGCCAACAGCCAATCAAAATCTGCCTATATCGCTTTTCGAGTTGACGCTACCATGTAAACATACTTCTTTTAGGATATTTTAAGTCATTTGATGGCCTGAGATTGTAGGTGCTGTGCTTATCTTGCTAATAGTTTAGATTTTTCTTAAGAACTGACATTTTAGTAATCGGTGACAGTCTGTAAATGGGTGTGCACATCTTCCCCCTCCCTCCAACCCATGGTACCATAGTATTCCGCAAAAATTCGTATATAACGTTGTCCCTATTCCCTGAAAAATTTATTCGGCTTTATTTTTTCAAGTGTAGTGGCAAATACTTGCACTTCTTCGGCGTTCACTTCCAAAAGACAATTATCCATCAATTATATTATTATTGTTGTCCCCATTGGTTCCGAGTGGAACATAGAGCTTCAAGCATCCTACCATTGTGCCACCGACGCATATAAATGGTTATTTCAAGTTGTACCTTATGGTACAAAACCGTCTTATTTTATAACAGTTACGTAGACTACGTAAAATACCTATATTTGGTCATGTTCCTTTTCGCGAAATGCTAGCAAGATATGACCTATGTTTATCTGAAACTAGTTGGCGATCAGCAAAAATTTGTAACAACTATTGGTTCAGGCCTGCTCTTGAACATTTCACCAGTGAATTGTTTTTTCTGCATTTGTAGTGTAACATTTGCCATCATTGCGAAGACTACATCATTCATTTGCTTTAAAACATTTCTAGACATATAAATAATTGCCTACTTAAAATTATCATTTGTCATCTGTTGGTCTGGCCATGGCGAGAGAAACATGCTGCAGCATGTTAGTTTTCATGTTTGTTGAAGCAGTGGGTGAGTCCAGTTACTCACTCCAAGTATACAACTTGGGGATAAATCAATGTTAGTATTTAAAAAATCCATTAGTTCACAAAATGTCCCGTATTTTCCCCGAATATCCCGAAATTTCTCCAAATACTCCTAAATTACTGTCATGTTTTTTGATCGAATTTCCTCCGTTAGTGTCTTATTGTCAAATTAGGTGTTACTGCAATAATAAATTTCTTGAGTAGCTGTAGGTGATTCATTCCCCTCAGAATTTTTAGGGATTGTTTCTAATAGCTTAGGAAGTGATCTGGAAGTGTGTCTAGAGTTATGAAACTAATTAGTAGTTTGATTAGAAAGATAGCTATGGTGTAACAAATTACCAATAGTGGAAAATGCTTTCACGCTTGCAGATGCTAGTGTATTGAAGATTGTCAAAGTAAATGACCTTAATGAACAATTTTTGGGTATATTGGAGGGTGGGGTTAATTTTGTGGCTTTTGGGGAAAGTGCTGATGTTTTGGTGCATTCTTCCAAAATGTTTACGTTGAACTCCTCCCAAAACTCTATCTGAATAGTATATTTCTTTTACATATGCATAACTTAGTTGATAACTTTGTAGGAATGGTGTTATATATTTTGTTCTTCCTGTATTCAAAATAGGTACATGGGATTCAGAGACTGCGGCAATTTCACCTAGTATAGTTGCATAGTCGCTGGCATACACGAATTTTCGCTCATGAATGTGTCCTATAGTTTTAAATCTAAAATACTTTGTAACTAGCAGAATAAGTGCAAAGTTCTTACGATTACTGGTTGTTATGCGAAATACAGTGAAAGATATATTAGAAGTTAATAATTGTAGTTAAAGAGTATTTGAAGGACGAATTGTTATGCAAATGAGCTTTTAATCAGGAAAAATATGATAATACGTAATAATCATTTAGGACAATACGAGTAGAAGGACAGTTTTATTCATAATTTTTTGATATTAACCGATTGAAGTCATGAGGAAAGAGGCTGAACAGTTTTCTCTCTATACAAAGCATAGCTACTTGGAGTGTGGCAACTCGAGTCGCTGCACATCTGTGCAAATTTCTACGTTAAAACCAGTCAGTCAGACAGAGCGTAGCTTCTTTTTGTTGCTGACTAAAGATTGATCAGTACAAATCCCGAACGCGCACATTTTCTAACAAGGGCCTTTTAAAGGAAGACTGTTCAGGTACATTGAGCACTATCAGCAAGATTTTCAATTATCTTGCTTCTTGTTGATCTGCTTCCAACTCTTCATAGGTGCAGAGTAGTGTTCATGCATTCTGCTGACCGACTCAATTTCGAAAGAACTTTGCAAAGAAGTGCGACAGTTCAAGTTGTCACATTCCATTTTGCACACAAAGGCAGACAAAGGAGAGGAAAAATTAGATTAAAAAATATATAATAATAGGCAATAATGTGAAGGAGAAGGATACGAACATTGAAAAGATGAGGGTATAGTGGATATGGGAGAGTCACAGAGTGAACTCCTCTGAGCCATTGAGAATGATTTTGAACCATATCACCAGTAGTCTCCAGCCATTGGTTTCTGGAATCTAGAGGACCGCAGCCAAGCAGTCTGTACCTCCCTATGTGGCTTAAACCAACTGTCAAAGACTCCATAAACTGACGCCAACCTAATCCCATGTCGGCTAACATCACTCTTCGAGGAAGGCGATGACTCAGCATGCGCAACACATATCCTAGCTACCTTAATTGATGTAGCTTCACAACATCATCGATTGACTTACCCTCCTTACCTAGCACTCTACACCTAACCACAATATTACTCGTCCTATTACACCGATTAACACATGAGATAGGACGCATACGTCTGTGGTCAAACACGTCTTGTCTGCACTCATGAACAGAACGTGAATCGAACTAGCTGTGTGCCTAACTCCAGTGGTATAAGCAGATGATCGATCGAGTGCGAGATTTTGTCTTTCAAGTGGTTGGTTAATAAGTCGACTAAAAAACACTTCTTTAAGGCTGTACAGCACATTATTTCATTTTACTTTGTGTACTTTCCAAGTTTGATTAAATCATCACCTGATCAATTCAAAAGCCCGACGTATGACTTTCGGTAAAACAAGTATCACAACTGCCTCAATTAATTACAGGGGTTATAAGCGTATTTATTGTTTGTTGACTAGAAGACGTGTTACCCTTGTTTATCAACAGTCTAATTTGACATGAAGTGTTGATGCAAGTAAGATCAACTTGAACGAATTTCAGGGCAAAAACAACATCAACTCATGGAGTAACTGGCTGTTTGGGAAGTGTTAGGAGGCGTCACTTACCTGCTTGGGTGTATGTGACAACCACCAGAACTATTGTCACGATATTAAGTAGTATGAATTAGGGTTAATTACATTAGCATAGTTGTATTTGTAACCTCCCACATTCCCTAGATGGATTGGCCATACTCTTAGGAAACCATCAAGTGACATCACTAGACAAGCCATTGCTCGAGTGGAACCCGAAAGGAAAGCGGTGAGTTGGTCGTCCAAGGGTGACTTGGAGGAGGTTATGTGAAGAGGAGATGAAAACGTGTGGGCAGACTTGGAGCCAGGCGAAGACTCTAGCAGAGAACAGAACGCAATGGAGACGCACGGCTGAAGCCCTATGTTCCTGTAGGAATTAAAGGATACAATAACAATAATAATAATTCTTCCCGCCTTACATTTCTGTTTATTATAGTTCATTTGAATCCTTTACTTTCTTTTATCTACCTTTTTGTGCTACATTGTGCGGCAACCTGAACTGTTTCACCTCTGTGCAAAGTTCCATGTTAAAACTCAGCCAGTCAGCTGTATTTGTGCTTCATTTTCACTGTAACATTTTATTTCTTATTTTACAGCATTGTATGCTATTTGAGAATGTTGTTTCTATTTATGTGTTTGAGTTTTGTTAAATTTCACTTGATTCATAGTATGTGGTGTGGCAACTTTAACCATTACTCAGAACTACTCTGTTCTATGCCGATAGTGTCTTTTGGTCTGCATTTGACAAAATAGTTCATCTAACTCACCAGTTGTTTTCTTAATACAAAATGATGTATAAATGGAAAGTTAAATAATCAAACCGTTTGTTCTGTTTTTAGTGACGGCTATAGAAATGGATCCGTTACACTGGTTTATCGCTTTGATACTTCTTATCATTGGTATATTATACGTAATCAAAAGACGGTATTTTGGTTACTGCGAGTGTACGCTTCAAAATCGTTTGGATGGCAAAACTGTCATCGTTACGGGATGCAATACAGGTATTGGATTAGAAACTGTATATGAGTTGGCTATCCGTGGAGCGCGAGTCATTATGGCATGCAGAGATCTAGAGAAGTGCAAGTCCGCCAAAGAGGAGATTCTCTCTAGGTTATGCACTGAAAACTCATCGAATCCATCTTCAGTACACAGTGTGCAGATGAAGCCAGATCAAGTAAGTTAACTTTATATTCTTTCAAAATGCATTTCCTCACGAGTTTCACACAAGTATATAAAACCACACTGGTCAACCGTGCTTTGTCTAGGCTTATTATTAGGTAGCAATAGTCTACTATTAATGCACTAAATACGAATTAATATTGGGTGTAGACCATTAGTGTTCGTGATAGAGAACCGGAGAAACTACAAACAGCCTACTAATAAGTTAATGTGGTCAATCTTAAGTTCTAAAAGCTGTTATTATTTCTTATATATTGTTTTGTGTGCAAGTGTTGATTTTATCCTGATGATAACTTTCCCTTTACTTGAAGCTAACTATGCTCACAAAATGTAGTGTGTTGTAAGCAGAGATCCCGGTAATTTAAACATAGCAGAATCTTACGTTAAACAGATGATTAGAGTATAAGATCAGGCTGCATTAAACCATCCTTTAAGGTTGGGGAATTAAACGGTTGAATTTACTGATTGCATCATTTCTCTGAGAAATGCTTTGTCCCTGACTGACGGTATGTTTGGCAACTGATGTTTTGTGTTATCTTCGGACCTCTGACTACCTATTATAGAGTTAGTTTACTACACTGAAGTTCGGTTTGTCCTACTATGTAGTTGAGGCATAGTCACCGAGAGCAGGCATAAAAAGACTAAGGGTGCCTTCGTTTCCATTATTCGTGTGAAGTAAAACCACACAGAAGCGTTAGGTTTAGGATCTAAGTCAATCTATGATGTCGTGGTTTTTTGATGTGTTACACCGCTCCGGTGGTGTACCGATTAGTGTGAGATTATCAGACCGAAACTTGGTATTACTTCGTGAGAGTTACTAACTATTAATGCGACGGGTATATAGAGGTACAGCTTCTCTTGGTGGTCGCATAGGAGATGCTAAAGATTGACGGATGAAATCCATAGCTGTTTAGCCTGAGATTTTGAAGAACAGTCACTCAATTATTTTCTCTCATGTTTATTCATTGCAGCATTCTACCACTAACTTTGTTTTTGTGTAATATTTTGATATGAAATAGGTTGCGTTGAAGACTTTTGTGCACTATTCTAAATACATCTGTCTTCTCTTGATTTAGCTAATTAAATTCCCTGCAATAGAAGTATACATTCATATAGTTGGATTAGATAATAAACTCACTGAATTCATTCTTTTAGCTGATAACATATATCCATTCATTCGTGAAGAGATGAATCAACATATTTTTTTCGGCGAAGAAATATTTCTCTTGAATATAAAACTATTTGAGTCGCGGAGTCAGGACGTATGTTTCCTACTGAATATAAGCAAAACTGTTTTTCATATTTGGTTTGTGGTGGAAATCCAGATGGTTCGGTGCACGAAAAAATTTCTACAAAACGAGACATAACTTATCAGTGTAAGTTTTGGGAAACAGAATGTATATATATGTATACAAGCTGGTTTATGATAATTTTACGTTCTCTTTCAGTTGAAAATTATAACATAGCAGCTATATGCACATTTCATGCATTTACAGACTACCTACGGTGATTATATGAAGTATAATATTAATACTTAGCTTACTTTAAAATCGTGACATTCAAACCTATTTGCTAAAAGTTTAATGCGTACAATCGATATAATATAACTCTGTGTTAATGTGAACTAGATTTGATGAGTAAGTTGAAGTTTAGAAATGTTGGTTATTACTTTCGGGCATATATATATATATATATAATTTCATTTCCAACTGTAATAAAGTGTATATGCTATTTTTGAATAGTGATTGAAAATAATCATACGGTAATATATAAGTTTTCATTTTTTTTATAGTTGGTCTGTGAAGAGTTGGATTTGGAATCACCAAAATCTATTCGACAATTCGCAGGTCGTATTATTAGTAGAGAGAAATCAGTATCGATTTTAATTAATAATGCAGGAGCATCTTTACCCGGAAAAAGTTACGATGGAGTTGGCATCGAGAAACATGTTAAGGTTAACCATCTGGGTCATTTTTTGCTTACAAAACTACTGAAACCATGTTTACGCACTTCTGATGGAGAGTTATGTCGTATAATTATTTTGTCGTCTCTCTCTCACTGGTTTGCCAGACTGGATCCCAAAAGTGCTTATCTGTCAGGCATAGGATCTGCATATGCTATTAGCAAGCTGTTGAATGTGATGCATGCACGTGAGATTTGTAAGCGTTGGTCTACCGACGGCATTGTTGCAGTCAGCGTTCATCCGGGTTTGGTGAGAACATCTATTTTTCGTTCCAGTAAACTGAGACATGTAAGTTGTTATTTGAATGACTGCAGACATGTTTTACCATTTAGCAGCTTAATAAATTTATTACAGTACTATGCAAAATTAGTCACCTGTTTCTGACCAGTGGTTATTGAATGTTTACGAAAATGTAACCTGAATAATAATCACCTTTGACAGACGTCAACTGAACGCGCGTTTTTGTTACGAAGATCTTGTAGGTGGACATAGCTTTCGATGCTTATTAAGTTTTCTACCTTAGTTATATTTCATAATATTTTGAGACAAAGGTAGGAAGTGTTAGTCCTCAATATACTGTAATCTTTTTGTCACTATTTCAATCTATTTTATTAACAATCCTAAATGATCTATGACTTGGGCTTAAGGGCTGCAAATTAATATCAGTGAGTATCTGTTCCAACACCGGTGATAGTTTCAGCCATCTTCTCTGTACATTGAGTTCTGCTTACTGGAAATATTCACTTCATTTTTATACAAATTAGTCATAAATTTACTTATGTAGGCTAAACTCTTATTTCGACTAAGATTCATTTATTCGCTTTAACTTCTCAATGTAATTCTATGTAACAATTTTCGCACAACACTGGCATCCCACAATGGATGGAAGCTAATCTACTTGTGTACCATAAAGACATAGAATACATACGATTTGCAGAATGATCAGGATACCGTCTTATTGAGTTATACCCATGTCGTTTGTGTCTAATAACCAGTATCCCTGATGATCCTTAGTAGTTGTCTGGTGTCAGATATCGGCAATACCTTTTCTATCTCTTTGACTTTTGTTGCCCACCACTGTTCGTGTTCGTTGCGGAGAGTTTTAGTGAGCAGCTTTCGCATCTCGTGATTTTCGGAGCCAGCCGGAATCAGTACTTTTGCATCTATCAGTTCGGATGAAGTAGTAGAAATCCACTGGTGTTTACTAACCTTTGATATCAAGTTATGAACTGTTTTAAATATTGTTTATGTAGCTGACAGGGTATTATTATTTCAGGCCTTCTCAAGATGCGTTTTACTGTCAACGTCAGATACGTGTTTAGCTATTTCTTCCCTGGATAATGACTTTGTATTCTCTCCAAGCTTGGAGAGTATCAGCTTTGTAGGTGTCTGCTTTCTATGCGCGATTAAACGTAGTCGTATACGTGCATAGACCAAAGCGTCATCGGAGTCTACACAGGAGTTCCAAAAGGAGTGATAATCTTCTGCCTACCGTCTCCATCGATAGCTTATTGCTACATGATTTATTTGAGACCATTGTTGATTTCGTGATGGAGATCGTTGTGTTAGACAATGTCTCTAGGTTTGCAGTCAGTGCAAATGAGGAACAGATGATTGCCTGAAAATAAACGTAAAAAACATCATCATTGTCGGTTCTTCGGTGTGACACCAATATCCTTTTCTGAATAGGTCAGTCCGCCTTTTTAAAATCACCATTTGAAATCAGGTGCTACAATGACTGTCTGAGAGTTTTGCGTTTAGCAGCAAAGCAGACCGCTTTGATGCGACACAGTTTATACTTCGTCCGTTCCGTACTGTAGTTGGTTGGTTTGTGAGCTGAGATCAGGAAAAATCACCGTTGAGTATCACAATCATTCCTTCTTGTCACGGCCCCGCTCAGCCAAATACCATATTACGGTCATCCATCCAATCAAGTCATTATTTTTCTGCCCTAGCACTCAACTCCATTCCAACACTAGCAAGTACATAACAACTAGTGAAAAAATCTCCTGACACCTGTAAGGCGAATTTTGTAGGTTCGCTGAGTTAGCCAAGTGGAGTTAAGCAAATAACCATATTTGGGTCCTTTGTGGGCGCCTCTGGAATGGCGTACATCCAAAACCCGAGACACCAGAGTGTAAGCGACCTACACTACGATAGTAATTATGTCTAGTCTAACCCCTGTTCAAACGACCTTTCTAGAGTGAGGGGACCTGTAGAAATAATAGTCCCATCTAGTGTAGCCCCTCGGGTCACTTCTGTATTCAGGCCGAACCACAACGTCAATGAAGCAGCAATCTGTTTGGAATATTCTTACTGCCAACTCATCTGAGCACAAAACACTGGTGGTTCTTGTGACTTGTGAAGATTACGATCCCCTGAGAGAAATTATCCAGCTAAGCGTTTGTATACTTCTACGATTTTCATCTTCGTATCACGATGTATTAAATATATCCATATACTATGACTGGATGAGTTCTCTACGTATAAATTTGCCCGGAAGTACAGCTGTTCATGGGGTAACACTTCATACAATACACACTTATTCTAACCATCTCAATCGATGCAACTACGCAACCTTTTCGACTGACTTCCCATCCTTACCCAGCATTACGCTTAACCTCAATATTATTCACTATTTGGTACCGCTCAACACTGTAGATAGAACGTTGACACCTTTGGTAGGAAACTGCTTGCTCTTTCTCAACCTTCATATAGTGCAATGATATATGGCCTAAAATATTGTATTACACGTGAGATGTAAGTAGTATTGACTTCTTGAGTTTAAAGATATGTCTCTGGGACATTTTTATCATTGACTGTATTTCTCTCTCAACCAACCTAACCAAAATATAAGCAAACGCAGACTGCTGCAAAATCGTGCGGAAGTATACAAAAACAATGGTAGAGGATCGAATTTCTACGCACAAGAGTATATGAAACAGGTTGGATTCATTTTTCTAAGCATCCTATGCACAGATTTAAGACAAGTTCTTTTCACTAGGGAATGTTATAGAAAGCCACTGAATTTCAGTTTTTGCAATCTACCTATAAGACTTTCTGTTTCCTGAGCTCACTTATTTCTGTTATGCATAAAATGCAGCTGATCAAGTTAGCATCGGTCAGAGACAAATGGTTTGATATCTTTGTAAGACTCTATTTCGTCTCAGTTTATTTTTCATTCAAGCCTGATAATCGACTGTATTTTTCTTTTCTTAGTTTGCAGTTTACTATCTAGCCAGATGGCTCTCGTTGACGTGCCGTGAAGGTGCTCAAACTACAATATTCTGTGCTCTTGTTGAAAATCTCATTCCTGGTGCATATTATTCAGAATGTCAACCGCGTAGCTGTAATTCGCAAGCCCTAAATGATGAAGTTTGTGATCATGTGTGGAAGACGTCGGAGGCACTGATCAAGAAGTGGGAGTCCCTCGAGGAGAAGTAGCGTATTAGAGGAACTTGTTATTAAATGTTAATGAATATGTATAGATTCTGCCTTCATCTCTTTCCCAAACATTTGGTTTCATAATATAATAAACTTAGTTTTCTACTTATCAAACAGTCATTATTCCATTTAAAAAAAACAACAATTGAATTAGTTCTATATTCATGAACACCAGTGATATTTAAGGATTAGTTATGCCAATTAGCAAGGGCTCCAAAGGACTTTCCTGGGGCTGTCGACACAACAGTATCTCATTTTTAGATGTTTTCGTGACCACAAAAAAGGATGGAGGTGGCGCATATAAAGAATATCAACATCAGTGTGACAATATACCCTTAGAATATAATCATGAATTGTTTGCCTCATGGAGCTAGAGTAATCTGCTTGAATAACTCTCCTAGTTACGCAATTAAAGTTTCCCTTGTGGTAACTAGCAGGAATGGATATCCAGAGTTCCTTGGTAAAAAGTATGATAATTCTGCTCTAGGAAGTTTTCAACAGCTTCAAGGTGACTGTTCCTCATAAAACTAGTTTCCTGGGGATAGTATTAAAAGTTGTAACACGATGTTTTAAGGGTCCTGCATAAACAATGCTGTGTATTCACATCTCAACTGATTTCGCGTTCGAGAAACGAGGGTAAACTACCTAATTTGATCTCGATCTGTATCTGCCAGTTATATTGGATGTATACGTAAGCATGTTTATCTTCGGAATTCCGTACATCAGCGTGCATGCGCTTAGGCAAGCCTCAAAGTGATTTGTTTTGTAGTTCTGTTTTAGTGCATCACCCTGATACTAATCACAAAAGTTATTTAGTGTATTCCTACTAATATTAATTTTGCGTAATAAATTCCTAAACATCATTTGAATAAGCTGGACATGTGTGTTTATGAGAAATTCTTACAAAAACTTTCTCTACTTAGGCGTCTTCACATAAATGCAAAAACTGACTATTTCTACTCTTTCAGTTCAATTTACGAACAGTTATTAGTTTTAAGTGACTGATTCGCTTAATTCGCCTTCAATTGTGTCTTAAGGTAAACGATTTTAACAATTGGACCGCTGATTTATGATTCTTAATTTTTAAGACGCCGGCTATGCATCATTGCCTTGTGATTATCATAAATATTTCGAGCCTTTAACTGTTAGCGTAATTTTCGTTCGTTATCTCGCTCCTGACATGTCGATATTAATGCTTGAGTTTTAATAAAATTAGTTAGAGTGGTAAATTATTTATTGTATTGAAAAACCCGTATGCATTAATGCAGCACATGCATTGACGAATGTCTCTAATTCAAGAGGCAAAATGAAATCATAAAATTGCGATTACTAGGCAACTATAAGCTGTTCTTGTCTAAATGTAAAACCAATGAAGAAGATGGCAATGCAGCTAAGATGGATTATGGTTCATATATGTCAACCATCTCAGCTACTGCCTTCTACCGATGCCAAAGTCACAGTCAGAATTCTGTGCGTTGAATAAATGACTAGCTCCATAGTGATCACTAGATGTGACTTTATCTAAGTGATTGACAGTTTCCAACTTGTGGGTGGCTTAACTCTCTCCTTCATCTAAAAAGGTATTCATACTCAGATCGGAATATTTCATTCATCAAATAACTGCTTCTCCACCAATAGTATCACTATCGTCGAAAAAATTAGGCGATGTAATATGGTTGTAGTAATCGACTATAGGCCTAATAGGGTATCCTAACTTATGAACTTTAAAAACACCATACAAAAGTGCCACTTGAGGACATAATGCTGGGAGTACAGCTATGCCTGACTTCCACAGTATTTAAATTCCAAGGGAAAATATACAAACAAACTGAGGGAGTTGCCATGGGATCACCAATATCTCCGGTTGTAGCAGATATATTCATGGATAGGTGGGAAAACATAGCGATTGAAACGTTCACCCCCACCCCAAAAGTATGGTGGAGGTATGCAGATGACACATTCACTGTACTTAAAACACAAGATATAGATAGATTTTTCGAACACATTAACTCGAAGGTGGAGGCAATTCAATTCACTTATGAATTGAAAAGTCAGGAAGGGGAACTTCCAATGTTAGATTGCAACGTAAAAAGGAAAGAAGATGGGAAATCAAATACTAGTGTTTACAGGAAACCCACACATTCAAACAGATACTTAGACTTCCGATCGTCCCATCCTATGTTAGTAAAAGTAGGATTGGTGTAATGACAGAGCACAAAAACTAAGTAGTAACGAGGAAAATCTAAGACAGGAAGTGATACACGTAAAAGGAGCCTTGAAACTTAATAACTACCCGGATAAATTAGTCAGGAAATGTAAAAATAAAATAAATAATGCTAGTAGCGATAGTGATAATAACAATATTAATGACGACACCAACAATAAGGAATCTAAATCATCAGTAGTAATTCCATACAAGGAAGGAACCTCGGAAGCCTTACGCAGAATTCTTAACAAGGCAGGAATAAAAGTGATTGGCATTCAAACCCACAAACTCAATTAGAAACAAGCTTTGTCGGTTAAAGGATCCTGTAGAGCCTTTAAGACAAAACAATTTAGTTTATCTAATACCCTGTCTGCAATGATTGTCAGGTCAAACACATAGGTCGAAGTAGTAGAACAGGGCAGTAAGACTAGCTGAACATAAAAACTTAGCAAAATCTAGATTGGTTAACCCGAATAAGATAAGAAATCTAGAGAATAGTTCTGCTATAGCACTACATGCAGTCAAACACAACCATACAATAGGATGGATGGGATAGGATGACAGTTTTAAAATCTAATGTCACAGGGTATAGGGTGAGATTGATAACAGAAGCTTTGTTTATCGAATCAACTGCAAATACATGTAATAGGAATGATTCATCACCTGTCCCCGACATATGGAAAATTCTACTCCCCCTACGACAAATAGGCGAAAACAAAGAAAGCTATAAAACTCAAGTGTCAAAGTCGTGTGATCACAATTGATATGATTATGAACAATAAATTTTGTTCGAAACGTCATCCAGTAAATAATACTGTTTCACTGTATGATACATCTAATACACAAACTAATGTGGAATTACTTACTACTAGCACAGTGCCCAAGTTTTACTCATATATTGACAGTTATGAAAGCTTTATTAATATCGAAATCAAACAACTTAGTTCTGATACAATGATATTCAGACAAATTGACATCATCTTGAAACAGAGGCTTATACTGTTCCATGAATACACAAGTGTTTTCATTAGACTTTGATGTGTTATTTCTAACCATTGATGGTCGTTATCAGTTGCAGAGAAAATGACCTTTTTAAATTATCTGCACAGTGATAGGGTGTGTTATCGAGTGGAGTTGCAGATGCAATACTATTAATCTGACCAAATCAATGCATACATAGACAGCCAGTATATGTATGCTTGTGTTGTAGTCAGCCATCCTGATTCTTGGTGATTTTCATTTTTATGACCTCCATAAATATGTATGTTACCCATCGATGTTGTCGTTGTTATTACGACGGTGGTCACGAGTATAACAAGCAAGTCTGACTGGTAAACCTCCAAACTATCACCTAAAACTAAGCTTTCGGGTTCCGCTTGTAAAGCATGTCACTAATAGATAAATTCAATGGAGACTATTTGTAATGATTCTACCTTCTTGTATTCATGTTAGGGAAAATGGCTTCGATGATCGCCACCAATCACAAGATAAATCTAGCACACACTATAGAATGATAGGAATACAGACAACTGCTTGGAAGTGAGTAGCGGTCGTGTATACATCTGTGCCATCAGTAGCTAAAATGTAGTATGAGTTGACGAGAGGCAGACAGAAGACACTTGGTATTATTAAGGAAATTAGTGCTCCCTAGAAATAGGTTGGAATGTACAGAAAGCGGCTCTCATTATCTGACTTGCGACTGTTTATTCCCCATTTTCCTATTAGCATAGGACCCCGACCTGTCCATTCAAGTTCGCTTAGTATCTATTGAAGTGATCAGCAAGCCAGCTATGCTGCTTCTCCACTTTGGGAATGGTGGTTAGAAAAGGTCGACTCTGGAAGTCATACATATCGAATTACCTTGTGGAGGTGTGCAGCCGGTGGTGGGATCTTAGTACGGATATATCCCCAAATCCACCTCAAACAGTCTTTGTGTATGGCCAGTACCGAGCAGTTATTCCCTGGGCTCCACGGTCACGCAACACTAGTGACTTTCCTGTGGGCAGCTGAGAAGTAATAACTGCCCTTGCACACACGCACAAAGCTTCTCTAATTACCATCTATCTTCATCTCTCGCTCTCCTTTCACTGTTAATAGTATTGCATAGGTAGATCCTTCGCCTTCTCTTAACTCTGTTACGATTAACAGCAACTATGACCGGAAAAAAGCAATCATAGTCTCCTACAACTACGCTACACAACGTCCGTACCTAAGGCCGAATCTGATAACAGGCCTCACTAGCCAGAACTCCGGCATCTTGAGCCACAGAGGTATGTCGAGTCTTTCGGCTACGGTTAAAAAGGGAAAGGAAGGTGGTGAGGTTGTGAATCCACATCGATTAAGATGGGTTGGAAGTGTCACGAACGGCGACCCAACGCCATCCTCGTTGATCAATGTTGGGTTGGGAAGGAGTCCTGGCTGGTTAAACAGAAACTTGCTATCAGTTTGTGCAATCTCTGACAGATGGTTTGAACCACGTAGTAAGGTATAAACTGTCTGGTTGGGGTCCTTGGGATGCTACGAACCAATGGCTGGAGACCATTGGAGATATAGCAGCTCAAAATTGTTTTCAATATCGCTGGTGCATTCACTCTTTGTGACGCTCCATGTCCTTGTTTTTACATGTTACTGTTCATTCGCAAATGCGTTTCTGCACACTATGATTGTTTTTAATCTTTTCTTTTTTCTCTACATTTGCGTGCTACATAGAGTGTGTCAAGTGGGACTACAGCATTTCTATGCAAAGCGCTATATTAAAACTCAGACAATCATTCAAAACTAATAACCATTGACCACTGGTTATTGAATGCAAAGGCTTTGTCCACTAAAATGTAAGCTGAATAATAATCTACTTTAACGGAAGTTGGCTAGATGTGCGTTTGAGCGCAGCACTTATAGGTAGACAT